AGGTGGAACTCTCTGGGAATCAACCATCAGTATCAGCATGTGCACCTGCAGGACTCGTTTGTTAGAAAGCCTACCTCTTCTGGTGTCTTGCTACCCCAGACGTAACCGTGAAGCATGAAGGTCAATACAACATAAGCCCTTCGCCACTCATCTTCGGAATGTAGGTATTTGGTCTGAAGGATAGGTAGACAGTTGACGACGTCCCGCATCCTCCCACTGTGTAGCAGAGACTGTAGATTGGATGCTATCCATTCCCACTTGGCATAGTAAGGATCCGGAAGGGCCTCGAGTGGCGGTTCTGGGGGAAGGAAGCCATGATCTGGGGAGATGCCGTAGTCCGCGAGAGCGGGGATAGGAGGAAGCATTGTGTAGGCAGGATTCAATGCACACAAGCTGGAGTGGCAGCTCGAATACAGAACAGGATGATTTAAGCAATTGAGAATTAAAGCCGAGCCCGTTGTTTATCTAGCGGATGCTGGAATCCGCGTTCCTCCTGGAGGCGAATTCGTGACTTCAGGTTCCAAAGTTTGTTAAACTCTGCTCCGGACCTGACACCCGAGTGGCTCAGATCGGACGATACCCCAGATTCTTTGATCGAACTGGGGCGTACGATGAAGTTGATCTTGTGCCTATATTCCAAGGCTTGAGAGACAACTGGTCTTTGGGTAAGGCAAATATCAGCGGAAGGGACAAGACTGGATAAGACTGGACTGAGACAACGCAACCAGGCAGTTCTTCAGTCGAATTTCACTGTATTACAAGAGACAGTAGGATAGATCACACAAAGAAGCAGGAATCCCGGCAATAAAAGACAACGCTTCCCCCGATTCACGCGGAGAAGAGCGGAAGAAAAAGACTACAGGCACGGGAGAGAAAGATGATCAGTGGCCCTTCTGATTCGGAAACTTGGTAGAAAAAGTTGCTCCTCCGGTGGGGGATGGCATGAGGATTAATAATGCTCGCAGAGAAGGCAGGATAGAAGGGAGCTGGCGTTGTGAGTTATAAATTGGTCGTGTGCTCAAAGTACTGAAAGAGATTGACCCAATTGACCTTCACTGGGTGAGGAATATTGATGGCCATTCCGGAACAACCTAAGTCTCCCGGCAGGGACGGATCATTAATCAGAATGTCAGGAGACAATAAATCCTGGCCAATGAATAGAGATCATTCAGACCGGAGAACAAGGGGGCGAGTGCCCCGTGGAAAAACGAGGCCGATATAGGCAAACGCCTTAAGCTAACTTTTCGCAGAGTGAGTGATGATTATTGAGCACTGGGTGGGCCAGAGACAGGGTGATGAGACACGCAAGAGAAGGTGGCATGGGTAGGAGATGATGGTAAACATGCTAGAATGCTATGAAAAGTCAGTATGCAAGTTATTCAATGACATTATTGCAACTCCTTTTGTACTTCTATATCAAAACATCGAAAGATATACTCCAGATACTCCAGATGCACCTATGAAGCTATGCGCCAGCACCAGCGGCAGACTGGGTGGAAGCGAAAGGGGGTCACTATTTGGCGAGTGCTAGCTTGAGTGCTAGAGAATGAACCGGAACCCTCTCTGACTGGCGGCCGCCGCTCCCAGCCCGCAAGTGTGCGAAACCGGGTGCGGTTCCCCCTCCATAAGCGAGTGCGCCGGCGCTTTCGCCTACACCCACGCCACCCCATTCGGGTCTGCGGTGAAAGCAGGGACTCAAAAGTTTATTCTTGGATCACATGATTGGTGATCGGAAGTACACCTTTTGGGGATCACCTGTTGCGGAAATCAAGTACCATCTCGCATGGATAATTGCAATACCGGATATAAGGTACTTCCTAGTTAGACAAACTGGATAGTTTCGGTGGAAGACATGAGCCCTACATAAGAGTTTGATATAGTCTGGCACGCGAGGCTGGAGTAGCTAATTGCTCAATTCTGTACAGACTATTTAAAATGGATCCGTCATCAATCTCATATTGTTACGTGCCAACCCAACGCCGGTCCCGAGTGCGATAATTTGCAAATGATGAATTAATGGACAGACTTCGCGTGGTCATCCTGGAAATGAGGAGGCAAACCATAAGAGAGTTTTTAATGCTGACTCCATTGGATGGTGTTTAGATCAATGCCCTCCTGGACCAACTCCCACAAAGGACTCAGCTCTCGGAGGAAATGGACACGGTCCTGAACAGCCTTGAGGACGTAGTCAATCTCACTATCTGTTGTGAACCGTCCAATACCGAAACGAATACTGCTGTGAGCGCTCTCGTCACTGCTGCCCAACGCACGAAGGACGTAGCTGGGTTCCAGCGAGGCAGAGGTACAGGCACTACCGGACGACAGAGCAATGTCCTTCAGAGCCATCAGAAGGGACTCGCCCTCAATATAAGCGAACGAGACGTTGACGCATCCAGGGTAATGGCGCTCAGCATCTCCATTGAGCGTGGTGTGTTCCATCGCCAGAAGTCCATCCAGCAGACGCTTCGACAGCCGTTCAACGTGCTTCCTATCATACTGCTCGATACGTTAGTATAAAACAGATCAGAGCATCGATGAAGTCATAACGAGAATTTTTAGTAGCGGTCGACTCATTACCCCTGCGATGTACGTCATGCAGCCATGACAACATACCAAAGGTATGAAGCTACCGTCATGGTGTCCGAGAAACTCATGCAATATATAATCCCCGTCGACAATCATCCAAAGAACATAGGATTATGAATAAAAATAACTCACCTCCATATCCTGACTGGCGATGCGGCAAGCCTCGCCGAAACCAACAGCCAAGTGAGGAGCGAGCGTGCCACTGCGCAATCCTCGTTCCTGTCCACCACCGGAGATGATGGGCTCAAGACGAACCCTGGGTCTGCGTCGAACATAGCAAGCGCCAATACCCTTGGGGCCATAGATCTTGTGGCTGGAGATAGACATCAAATCGATGTTCAGCTTGTTGACATCCAAGGGGATCTTGCCGACTGCCTGGGCAGCATCAGTGTGGAAGAAAACCTTCTTCGCACGGCAGAGCTTTCCGATCTCTTCCATGGGTTGAATCACACCAATCTCATTGTTGACGGCCATGATGCTGACTAGAGCCGTGTCGGGTCGAATGGCGGCCTCGAGATCCTCCATCCGGATCAATCCGTTATTTTGAACGGGCAGATATGTGACTTCGAATCCCTCATCTTGAAGATGCCGGCAGCTGTCCAATACACACTTGTGCTCAGTCTGCGTTGTGATAATGTGCTTCTTCTTGCCGGAACGACCAAAGAATCTGGCCACACCCTTGATGCTCATGTTGTTACTTTCGGTGGCGCCGCTCGTAAAGATGATCTCCTTTGAATCCGCCCCAATCAATTTCGCAATATATTCTCTGGCTTGTTCGACAGCCTTCTCCGACTCCCAACCATACGCGTGAGTCCTGGAATGCGGGTTTCCGTAGATACCGGTGAGATAGGGAAGCATAGCGTCGAGAACACGAGGGTCAAGCGGCGTAGTGGCCTGCATATCCAAATAGATGGGCCGTGTTCCCTGATCCATAACAGTTGCTTGTTTCAAAATACCCGCAGAGGGACTCATCGAAGCATCTCCGGAGATGCCAGAGGCGGGAAGTTCGACCTTTCCAGGCTGAAGACCTGTCTGCTTGATGAAGTTCTTCTGCTCCTGTTTGATGGCCGTGTCGATCGAAACCTGAGCGTTTCCAGCTTTGGTCTCGGTAACATATGTCCGTCTCGAAGCTGCACCACTGGAGGTGGCGAGCGCCCGTCTGGGGAAGGACGCGGTCGCCAGGGAGCCATGCTGTGTCGACGAGAGTCGACGAGCATAGGCACGAGATGCCTGTCTCAAGGCAGATGGCGTAACACTAGACATAATTTAGATGTCGCTCAACCGTACCATTAATGGCTTGATGGTCTGTTGATAGCAGAGTGGATGACAGCTGAGGAGAAAGGCGCGAATTCGTAAGAGTGAGAAAAAGGTTTGGATCCGGTTATATCATAGCCGCTAAGCCCGATCGGAGCGGAGCAATCAGATAGCTCGGTGAATTCGCTCGGTCTTTTCCACCGGCATATCAGCCATCTTCCGCGGCCCTATCTATTGTCCGATGAATCATTTGTGCAGGGTATATAATTGTCAAAATGGGCAGCATATCTCTATTTTGTCATCAAGTGTACAGAGTCGAAAGGGAAGATCTCTTATATAGCTTCTGTGGGGAAGAAAAGACAGGGTACGGCGAAACGCGATTACCCCGCGGTTGTTTACTCTCCATTTAATATTTGGAGAAGGGCAGTATGTCAGAGATATTCCCAGGTGTACTCCGTACTCGGAGATTATTAGGCCATTATTATGTACCGTTGATTCGTTATGGTACAGATCACTATGGTGATGCCTAATGTTGTACTCCGTAGCACAAGTTAGATTCAAGCCAAAGGAATACCAAGCCTGAATAACCGGTGCCTAAACAGCTCCTAGGGAAGACTCCGGCATTCGGTGTGGTTCTCCGTTGCTGCGCCACACCCTTGATCGATCGGTATGCTCAGTCACAAGGAACATGTATGACTTCATCATACTAAACGGTGCCCAAATGAGCAAAGGAAATTGGTCGCAGATTACTGTCGAGCGCTACATTTATTTAAACCCATCGCTATACTTCATCGATCATTTATTGTACGCAATGTCTCTCTGCTAAGAGAATAATACGGACCTGATACCTCTCAGCCACACTTACCTCCATAGCATCCTATGTCATAGCTCAGCCACAGCGCCGAGACGAACCACTAGTATATTGGGCTGGGCTGAAGGCTGCAAATCCACTCCAAGGAACAAGAAGGTCGCTTTCCCCCCACTCCTCACCACTGAGCCATTTCTCGCTCTAATATCACTCCTTCTTTGCTGCTCCCCGAGACCCTCGTACTTTATTTCCCTAGCATCATCTCAAACACACCTAGATCGCCACCGTTGTCTATACCGAGCACTTCCGCCCAGCACCTACAGAAGAAGATCGCTCCATCAGGAACATCGAGATGAGTTTGAAGGGTTTCCAGAAGAGCATTGTTCGCGCACCGCAGCAATTCAAGGCGCGGTTCAATATTGGCGAACACACCAAGGATCCGATCTATCAAGATGCCGAGCGACGATTTCAAGAACTTGAAAAGGAGACGAAGAAGCTTCATGATGAGTCCAGGAAGTATTTTGAAGCTATTAATGGTACTGATTTGCTCGGGGTCGATTCTGTTGAGCAGGGTCCGGGTAGCAAGATGGACTAATGATCACACAGGCATGTTGAATCACCAGATCGAATTCTCCAAAGCCATGACAGAGTTATATAAACCCATCTCCGGTCGCGCCTCGGACCCGAGCACATACACCATTGAGGGCAACCCGGAAGGAATTCGAGCTTGCGAGGAATACGAAGCCATTGTCCGCGACCTACAGGAGTCACTTGCGCCCGAGCTAGAGTTGATCGAGACTCGCATTGTGAGTCCGGCAAATCAACTGCTGGAGGTGATCAAGGTGATTCGGAAGGTAGCGGTGAAGCGAGATCACAAGAAGCTGGACTACGATCGACACCGCAACACTCTGAAGAAGCTCCAGGAGAAGAAGGACAAATCACTGAAGGATGAGAAGGCTCTTTACAAAGCGGAGAATGACGTGGAGCAGGCCACGCAGGAATACAACTACTACAACGACCTGCTCAAAGATGAACTACCCAAACTGTTTGCCCTCGAAGCCGAGTTCATCCGCCCGCTGTTTCAGTCGTTCTACTACATGCAGCTGAATGTCTTCTACACACTGCATGAGAAAATGCAGGGCATGAATATCGCCTATTTCGATTTGACTCTGGATGTCGAGGAGGCATTTGAGAAGAAGCGAGGTGACGTCAAAGAACGGGCAGAAGCACTTACCATCGTCCATTTCAAGACGAAGGGCCTGGGCCGACAACCCTCCAAGTTCACACCTCCCGGTAAGGACAAGATGGCGTACGAGAGCAAGAGCACATTCGCCCGCACGAATCGCACCGAGGAGACTGACAACCCTCCTCCACCCTATTCGGCCTCTGCAAGTACTGTTGCGGCCGCCAAGGCCAAGCCAGCGCCTCCGCCACCCAAGCCCAAGCCCGCGCGATTGGGTGCGGCAGTCGAGACGGTTACAGCCTTGTATGACTACGAAGCACAGGCGCATGGTGATCTCAGCTTCTCGGCGGGCGACGTGATTGAGATCATCCAGCGGACGGACAACCAGAACGAGTGGTGGACTGGTAGAGTTGATGGACGAGAGGGCCAGTTCCCAGGTCAGTTTTATTCACTGTTCTTCTTTCTATCTTGAAGGCTAACTCTCTTTTCACCACAGCAAATTATGTCCAGTTGCGTTAGCATATATTTTTCCCACTTTCAGCGCTCATGCCACAATATTTATAATTGCCCCATTTGATGCTGCTGTCTATTATCGACGGCCCTTTTCAGGAGTTGTGAGGCTCCTTTGCACAATTTCTGTGGCTTTCGGCTCCAGCAGCATCGTCAATCCTTACTTCTGTTCCCTATTCATCAACCCTACTTGCCTGTCATAGAGCATCGCGTGCATGAAGAAGTCTCTTTGCTGTAAATAGTCTCTAGGCTATTCTTACACCCCAATCACGCCCAAAGGCATCCGATTCAACTCCGTTGGACTACCATGGAACGGCAAGACTGGCGTTCGGAGACTCCTGTATTCGGAGTCGGCAACAAGCTATGGATCAGTGCCGTGTTCGAAGGGGGCCCATCAACGAACAGCGCAAGTGCGGACACTGTAGGTTCTACAGAAGCTATTCCGCATCGCTAACAGAGCGAACGCCTATAGCACAGGTGTCCTACCCACTTCCGCTGGATCCTTCCTGAAATGCAACTGTAGATCGTCTACGATATCCGACGCGAGTCGTCGTTCACTTTCTTGGCATCCTCGGAGCCACAGAAGTAGAGACAGTGCGAACAGATCCGGTCATTCAGCCGTTTATTTATCTAGGTTGGGTAATATTTCAATACAACTCCTACGGCGGAAATGATGTCTCCCTATGATATCGACATCTAGACCTAATGCACTTCTCGATGTCCGGGCCACTTCATCAAATGCAGCCATAGACCTCGGCGTAAAGTTGAAATTTTCATCGATAGCTCACAACTCGGCTACTATACTGCAAATATGATTGTAGTACGAAAGGTGCACCCGTAAAAAAAAGGTTTAACTCGCCCATGACGCCGTGTTCATCCCAGCCTAGATGGCCCTAGACAGCTGCCGGCATATGAGTGCGTGGCATGAGAAAGATGGACGGCCCCAGGGGCTGGTGATCGGACCATCCAGTCATGTGTCTGATGAAGTCAAAGAGCACAATTTAACATGCAATAGGCCAGCTTGCCAACAGCAAAGGATATATTAGGCTATATTTGAAGCATTAGATACATAATAGATCTAACACCAGCACTGAACTTCTTAATATCGGTAATAACTAGCTTATTAGATTTAATAAGCTTTGCTCCCTCTTCTATAGGGGTAGTAGCTGTCTTCTGTGAATCTGGATTAAAAGTATTAACTAATCACTAGAGATATACTTACTGGGATAGCTTGATCTAATACGGAGTACTTCTCCCTATTATGATTAATTTTCCTTCCGAGATAATAGCTTGGCGGACTAATAAGTGAAACCTCAAACAGCTTGCTATGGCCTGGCATACCCCCTTAGTGATTTGCCTCAAGGGACCGGCTGTCTCCATGTCGTCAATGTGTAGAATCAAGAGAACACCATGAGTATTAAAGAACAGGTACTCATTAACCTTTGACAGCTGGAAACATATCTTAGCTACTCTGGTTCGGAAGGTGAGATACCATGCCCTAGCTGACTGCTTCAGGCCATAAAGAGGTAGTAATAGTTTGCATACACAGCCTGACTTATCATAAAAACCTTGAGGTTGTTTCATGTAGATGACCTTGTCATTAAAGAATTTCCCTTGCAGGAAGGCCAGCTTGATATCTGCCTCAACACAGTGGTAACCAAGAATGGCTACAAGAACGAAAAATAGCCGCACAGTGGCCGGCTTCGCCGTTGGCGAGAAGGTCTGGTCGAAATCAACGCCGGGTATTTGGGCTGACACTGGTCAGGTCTGCTGGTTCCAGGTACGTTCCTCGCCGCTGAGGGCAATCCGTGTAACCTTGTGTGTATCCATCCCTTCCTTCTTTAAGGTAGTTTGTGGTCGATGTTATGTATTCTGAGAAGAAGAACACGGAATCCTGACGAATGTCATCCTCATCTTCTAAGCTAGAGAGTCCTCCCAGTCCTGACTACAGCTTTGCCGACGTTGACGAGCTCCCTGGGCAGAAGATACAGGTCTCAGCGTTGTCTCCATAGGAGATTGCAACGTATGAGAGGCCTGGACTGAAATCGCGACGGGAGATATTGAGAACAGCCTCGGATACGGTGATCCCTTGGGCCTTATGGACACGACACCTAGCTCTGACATGACGTCCTTTGCGTCATGAGGCTTGTAGACGATTCCGATATCCAGGGTCCGATGAAAGTAGCGAACGAGATGGATGAAATGCTTGTAATATGATTTATCAGGATTTGACGTGTAATGGGCCAATTTGCCAACGGCAAAGGATGTATTAGGCTGTGTTTGAAGCATTGGAAACATGACAGATCCAACGCCGGCACCGAACTCCTCCTTGATGTCAGTATCAACTGGCTTATCAGATTTGGTGAGCTTTGCTCCCTCTTCCGCACGATCTTATGCCAGTCAACGTCTTGATAAGCAGGTCCATCGTACCGGTCGAAGTGGACGAGCAGCGCGTATGGCGGTTCCCACTTGGATCTGATCCGTCCATCCTGCTCCCAAGGCGAAGCCTTGAGTGACCAGTGCCTACAAGTAGCGAGCAGTGTTGGGATTCCCAACCTCTGCATGGCAGGACTCGTTTCGTTCCGTGTAGATCCTTATTGCCAGCCGTGCCGTCTCGTCGCCCGCATCCATTCCAGCCTGATGTAGGTAATTGACGCAGTCAAGTACGGTGCCTTATTTACTAGATAAAAGACAGGCCACTCCACATCGAAGTTCAATTCACGATACAAGAATGACCTTGTTGACGATGGAGAAGAATTTGGCAAACACTTCCAATGAACTGAGGTTTCTAGAGGCACCTTCGCCTTGCTTTCGTCAGTCGACTGGGACCAGAGCTGTGGTAACAGTGTTGCACGTTTCGAGCTGGAGAGTGCTGGTTGAGGTCTCTTTGTCGATCCGTATGTCGAGATTGTAGAATAATGTCAGATGTTAACTAGGAACATGAAAATGCTAGATCAGGGACTCTTGCACTGTGTTAGGGAGAAAATGAAGGTAATGGCTATACCTCTGCACTGTCTGACTCGGGATCGGATATTTCAAAGAATAACCTCGTTTTCCTATGGTTGGTTTTCTCCGTGGCTTTGCAACTTATCAGTGCTAACTTTTGTCAATCATGGTTTCCATTGCCGCAACTCGTTTCTTAGCCCTTCCGGAAGGGTAGGTCATCTGGCCTTTTCCATTGGGGAGGGTATACCGGTCTGCCATCTGGGCTCAGCCTGGCCAGTTGGGAGGAACACCCGTGGGCTAAGGTGTTAATAGTCGACTTTGCGACATCTTCCAATATTTACGCGTGATCAAGGGCCACTGATCCCTTGGAATGTCTGCGAGTGGATTGGGTCTGATGTCTATATGTTCCGCCGTCGGTGCCCAGCGAGGATAGGTATAGTAGGGCTTCGCTCATTTGTCAAGACTGGCGTAAACTACCTTAGTCGACGCAACGTTGGGTCTGGATTGTCGGGTCTAGGTGCCAATTGGGATGCTCGGGATAGTGTTAATAGCTCTCTGAGTCAAACCATGGAATGTGATATGTATAGAAGACCAAATCATTGCAGAGACAAACGGAAGATATATAGTGGTTATATCTGAGTTGATGAGTATATTGAGCGCCAGAAATTAGCAGGAATAGAAGGAAGCAGAGCGGTTAATATATCCTTCTGGGAGGGACAATGATCATTCAACATATACGATGAGGAGATCATTCTTTATTCACTGGCTTTACATACAAGCAACAGCTTCACTGCAATGATTAAAGAGAGAAGTAGTGAACAAGGCAGCAAACGCTTGGCTAGCCTGTCATAGTCTTTAGCCACAAGATGAAGTCACTGATCATCGTCACAAGCCTTGACAAGCACTACAGCAGTTGTCCGTCTCCACCAGTCGGATCTCGTATTAGAAGTCTGCTCCATACTAGCTTGCATGGAGGTGTCTTATATATCATCTTACCTTTCGTTTTCATTTCCAACATCTATTCTCCTAATCTCTTTCTATACCTCAAACTTGGATCTATATTTCCAAAATGAGAGTCACAGCCTGGTTCTCCGTCCTCCTCACCACCGCTCTCGCAGCACCCCAGAGTGACTCCGAAGCTCTATCCAGCGACCTAGCCAACTGGTCCTCCCTCGGAAATGCCTTGTGAGTCTAGCCTTCTTACTTTTTGGGGCTTCTACAACTAACAACCCGCCAGACAATCCCTAAACTTCAACTTCACCCTGCCCACCAAAACCGCCAACCTCGCCAACATCTCCCCACCCCCTCGCTCCCTCATCCCAGAAGTCATCACCGCACTGCCGCCTTCGGTACTAATGGAACTCGTCATCCCATCCCAGCGCAGCGCCCTCGCCAGCCAATTCAAGGCCGGGAGCACACCCGCCTGGTACGCCAGTCTCCCCAGCGACGTCCAGAGTTACCTGTCCGTGGTGAAGAGCCAGATCTCCGAGGGCGCGTTGACGGCTACTACGGGCCTGGCGTATCAGACTGCGGCTACTGCGTCGGCTACGGGGACAGCGACAGAGACGGGTGCGTCTGCGGGGGGTGCGACGTCTACGTCGAAGGGAATGGCTGCTGCGGCGAGACCGACGGGGGTGTTGATGGCGGGGGGAGTGGGTATGGGGGTTTTGGGGCTGGCGTTGGCGCTGTGAGGGACGACCGAATGAATGTGAATGTAATCTACGGGCCACATTGACGGATGTCTGAAAATCAAGGAACGAGTGGCGATGACACGAAGTACGGATTATGAATGATGTGATGACTTGAACTAGGCTAGGCTTTGGATGAACTAGATGTCTGTCTATTGGGTAATGGTGTCCATGGGTATAGCTCTTCGGTTAAGCTTTAGTGGAGATGCGGAGAATTCATGATGCGCTCTTGATAAGACATACCGGCTTGTTACGACTGCGACAGGGTAGATAATTTGAATTGGGCATATGGAGCAATGACTGAGACAGTTGGTTCATTCTGTGCTAGATAGAATACGACGACACTGAGACTGTGCCAATTCATGGAAAGAATCGCGAGGTACTCCGTAGACAGATTTCACATGAGTCTCCGATCCCGAGGTCCCTAAATGGCTCTACACTCAGATTGTCAACGATCAACAGTCACAGTGCTTTAACCGAAGTAGCTTGACCAAGGTCAAATCCACTCGGAAAACGTACCAGACCGCGAATTCAACAATACGGTGTAAACCCGGGTATGAATAAAGATTGACGCATCCACGTATGTGGCTCAAAGACCCTGGTCATTAATCTATCTGAGAGGAATATCTTAATAGAAACCGCGTATATTCGAGACGATGCTTGGGGTTATCTCCACATCATCCAGGGACCGGCGTCAAGCTACCCAAAAGGGAATGCATTGCGGCATGGGGGCCACTGTGGGGAGTGGAGTTGGAGGCTGGAGATGCGGGGGACTGAACACTGCGCAGGTGCATCACATGAATGTCGAGAAATTGGAACATCTTTATCTATTCACTTCTAGGTTGGCTTGATAACACAAAGTAAAAAAAGGCTGAGTGAAATCTACAGCCTCGGAGGTAATTGTCCAGATCCACGGGTGCAGGGCTAGACTTTGGTTGGGACCAACCTAAGACATGTCAAATCGGAGCTTTACTCTAGACTCCATAGATAGACCCATCGCATTTGATGAAGCTGATGGCACTGGAGCTGGACAGTAGATAGCGGGGTAATCATGATGCTTGTTTCTTGCAACTGAGGCCTCGTATCCGAAACAGTTGATTAACAGTAGATAGCGATACATATACTTGCCTCTTGTCAAGAATATCTACTGTCTTCAGCACATCTTACCTACATCAATCAAGCAAAACAATAACAACAATATGCGACTCTCAACTCTCCTCCTCCCTCTCCTGCCCCTCGCCCTCGCCAACCCAAACCCCAACCCCAACCCAGTGGCCGCACCAGCCCCCCAATCCACAGGCGGCGGCCTCCTCTCCGAACTCCCCACCATCCTCAACGGCGTCAAAGAGCTTCTAAGCGAGGACATGCTCAACGACCTGCAAACCATCGTCAAAGGCGGCGCCGTGCTCCTGGGCGGCGACAACCCGGCTAACATCGCCAAGTTGCTCTCGGGAGATAATGTCAACAAGCTCCAGGACGTGATTGATAATGCGCATTCGCTGCTGACGCCGAACTTTGTGAATGAGACGTCGACGTTGATTGGGGATGCGACGCCGGTATGTTCCTTTTCCTCGTTTCTTGAAGTTGATGCTGACGGTTGTAGCTGGTTTCGGCTGTGGAGAAGTTGCTGGGTGGGTTGTTGGCTTCGTTGACGTAGTTGGTATGGAGTCTGGGTATATATGAGTGATGAATTCATGGGTAGTTATGTATATACAGTGATTCTATTGATTATTACAAAATGACGTGATGGTAAAATTTCTGAAGCAGATTCGTTGCTGGTAATCCATTAGAGCACAGGGAGTATACAGAAATAACCGACTAAACAACATTCAAATGTTTCCTCAGCTCATTCAGATAGTACCGCAACGGATAAGACCGCATCGACACCGGCAGCGCAGGATAGACCGCATTCGAAAACCCCATCGTGCTCCGGTACAGACCCCGCGTCCCCATCGTAGACTTGAGCCCGTACTCCTCTCGCAGCCTCGGCGGCAGCATCTCGATGGTCACCACCCGCAGAAACGGCTTCAGCATCTGCACCCACCGCGGCACAGCCTTGTCATGCAGCAGATCCTTGGCAAACTTGTTCGCGTCCGGCGTGACCGTCAACCGCTCGATGCGGTCGTCCCAGTACTTCCAGAACTTCTGGCGCGTCTCGGGCCAGACACCCGAAGGCAGGCCCAACGTGTGGACGAGAAGACCAAACTCCGCGTAGGCCTTTTCGGCCGTCCGGTAGTCTACCCGGCCGTAGATGCGCTGGTAGAAGTCTGTTGCCGTGGCGTAGAGCGTCGCCGCGATCCAGAGCTGGACGTCGGGCGCGGCGGCGTAGTAATGCTCGCTGCCGCGGAGAGGAGGCTGTCCTCGATTAAGCATCTCGAGTAGCGTCTTCTTCTCCTGCCGGGTGCCAAAGACCAGGCAGGAGAAGTAGCTCAGCATTGCTTGCAGGGCATCGCCGAGCTCGGTGGCTAGATTGGGGCCGTTGTTGGCTTTGTCGTGATCGTTGCGAATCTCGGGCGTGGCTGCTTGGAGAAGAAGCGCTGTGCCTGATCCAGCGAAGAGGATGCCCTCTTGCAGGATCTGGGGGAGGATTTCGAGGTTATCCAGCGCATCGAGAGGATAGGTTTCGGACTTGATGCTGGTGGTGGTGGGTGTTTGAATCTTTTCTTCGGGGAGCGTCTCGCCGAGAGACATTTTGACGCGACGCTGTTATTTCCTTACAGAATAATGTTGAAGGGATTAATCGTATGCCAATGTTTTGACGTCTTCCCAGTGTGTAACGGAGTTGCTGCAAGATTGAGAGATTCTACTGTGGAATTAGGAGACACCGGAGGCCCCATACGATCTTCAACGCTTCCACACGCTTTTCATCACTTTCATCTCAGCTCAATGATGAAATGATCAGACCACATGCAGACGCTGCAGTTGCCATGCTTCGCATCCGACAATTTTCGTCATATTCTAAACCCCGCATATTCACCCCCTAGCCGGGGAGAGAGTTCCATTCCCCAACTTTCGGGCTTGTCCAGCGTCTGTGGCACTTGCGGGCAAAGCTTGAGTCGAAACAACCCGACAATGAAGCCACTTTCGTACTGTTCCCCACCATTCAACCGACCAGATTTTATCAGCATTGAGCTAGCAACCGCGGTTGTTTAATAGTCTGCGATGATCGTTATCCCAATGACCGCATGTGAACTGGTAATCAATCGCCGGGATTGGCTGTAGGGGGAGATCGCCGAAGTCGCAGTGCCGATCATGCGGAGGGAACCCCCTAAAGGGGCTTAAGTCTGTACCGCAATGGGCCAAACTGAATACAACAAAGCAAGACTTGCGAGCACTTGGGCCCAGGGCTAAGTGAAACGGCGCAGAAAATAACAGACATTTGAATTTGGCTCGGAGCTAGGAATTGAAGGAAAATGAAATTATCGTGTGACGGTGTGGCCCGATCAGCTATGACTCTCGTGCGGATCGAGGGCGAAGATCGCGGATTCTCCCCATCGCGTCTTCTTCATATATCCATTGCTACCAACTACCCGGGATTTCGAGGTCTGGTCTATCTTTAGACTCTTGCTGTCCGGATCACTCTCACCATGGCCGAGATGGAAGAAAAGCCCTCCTATCTCAGTGCCAAAGGGGCCAAATATGCCCTCGGTATCCATCGAGGGCCTTTACCCCCGGCCAATGGGGACGGTGGGGTGATTGAACATGTCGAGACAGCATTGTCGCTGGAGAAGAAACAGAGAACAAAGAAAGAGGCCATCCGTCGCCATTGGGCCCGGTTCTGGTGTTGCTATGTCTTCTTCTCGATCATCTTTCTCGCCATCATCCTCCCGGTCTTGTGCGTCTTCCGCCCTTGTTCACGACAATCCGACGTTGCTGACATTATAATAGCTTCCTGGTGATTCTTCCCTCTGTTTCTCAGCGAGTTGTCGACAATTCCAACCTTGTTCTCGTCGATGCAAGTGTCATGCAACCTCATCCAGAGTCGGTAATCCTCACTATGCAGTCTGCACTCAAATTGCCCATCGGAGTTCCCGTTCGTATCGATCCCATCACTTTGGATCTCTTCAACCGGGGCGAGTCCGGAAACAGCACCTTCGCCAAATTGTACCTCAACGGAACAACTATCTCAGGCAACACCACTTTGGGAGTCACTAATCAGTTCACTCCACTCAATGTGGATCAGTGGACCAAATATGTGCGCAATGTGGTATTTGGGGAACATGCACCGTTGTCGCTGAAGGGGACTACCATGTCGTATCTGGGCAAGCTTAAGTCCCGAGTGACAATGGACAAGACGATCAAGCAAAACAGTAAGCGAACCTCTTATTAGTAACGAAACCACTGGCTGACCTGCCCAGCCCTAAACGGCTTCGCTGGATTTTTCATCGAGGGGTCGCAATTGCTTCTGCCTGCTGAACCAGACGGTACCAACCTGATCGCCAACGCCACTTTACCCAACCCCTCGGTCATGACATTGGAAATCGTAAGTCAGGAGTATCATCCGCTGTCAAGGATCACTAACAACCGATAGGGCACAACTGTGTTGGACCTCAAGAGCGGCGATCTCGTCATCGGCAATGCAACGATCGATAATCTCGTCCTCAGACCGGGCAACCATTCCAATCCCGTCCGCGGCAGACTCGATCTCAAAACTGTGTTGAAGAACCTTGGACCCGTCCTGCAGAGCCAGAAAGACTCCCTCCGCAACGGATATCTGTCTCTCGACACCGTTACCAAATCGGTCGTTTATGAGGGCGTGGAAGTGCCATATTATACGAATGTGATGAAGGACCTGACCCTTAGCGCGAAGATTCCTATCGGTGGACTGCTGGTCAACACCCTCCGGGGGATTTTCAACAAGAACGGGACAAACATCCTCGACCAGATGAATATCACGGACTCATCGTCGTCGGAAAGCACTAGCAGCGTGCTGTCCGAACTGCAGCATCTGAACTTGAGCAGTCTGGGCGGAAGTCTGAGCAGCAAATTGACTAGTCGATCGCTGGCCGAATTCCTGGATCGTCCCGACGATAACTTATTATTGGTTGATGTGCTGAAAGGATTCTTGTGAACGAATCACGACCTGCTTGATGAATCCGAGACGGGAATATTGACATGAGCGGCGTTTGGGGTTCTTTTGATTTCCATTGTCTCTTCGATTTTCTTGTGTATAGATGAAGAGCAGTCCCTTGTATATACATAAACAAACACAATATTAATGCTTGAATTATACCATAATTCAACACACGAATTCCCCCCTCCGCATCAAAAGAGGAAACGTGGGAAGCCAAGCACGCCGTGCGGAAGCAAAAACCATGTGAAGATGAGACCGTGACATCGGGCCTTGATTCTTCCACCGATCTACCTGCAACTTCCACCTATCACACGCCATTACTCGAGGGTTGCACTCTTTGTTCTCTCGTCGACCAATGACCAGAGCGTCTAGCGGTTATCTTGGCTTCTCAGAGTTATTGGTCAGAACCAAGGCAGCCCGTGGTTGAAGTTTCTTTATACACTGTGCCAACTGCCAAGGGATAGATAGGTTGGGGGGGTTAAGACGCGTGTCGCTTCTCGGTGTGCATTTTCCCGTAACCGGTCAGGGCTTTCTTCTCCTATTCCTTGAGCTAATGGGAGGGTCCATACTCCATAGTCTGGACTCAATTTCCGATAAAGTAGGAAAATGGCTGACCTGTGGAGCTAAGAGGAGGCTGTCTACCCTTGTAATCTTTTTGTCTGGGGTAACACCAGGTTTGCAACTTCAAAGCCAGCTCACCACGTGGATAGGTCATATTCTTCGTAACCTCGATGCTGACATCTCTCCTCAAGAGTCCTAAGCTCCTCGTCCAGACCAGTCAAGCCTTAAATCCGACGCGTAAACTTTGCTGGATTGCGGGGGAGGCGTTTGAGGGACGGCCCCCATGATCCAGTATCAGCCTATCCGCACAGCGCAACCCTGTAATATCGTCCTCCAGCCCACATGATGTTGGTGGCGTTTGCCCAGAGTTGTACTAGTCCAGAACCTTGCGCTCGTTGGTCTGATCCTAAATACATCGTTCTGGGTGCTAGGTAGTACTGGGATGTTGCTGTGCGCCGTGGATGTGGTCCAATCATTGCAGGCATTCACCACGGGGTTAATGAATCAGGCGACGTTTGGGACTGTAGTATTCACTGGACCGGTCCATCAGAAAACAGAAACAACGGGCCATGCCGCTAAGTGGCCCGTTTGTTTCTCTCGGATTATCTTCTGGAGCTATGTCCGGTTTGGTTGTTGTCGCTTGCGAGAGCACGGCAGAGAGTATTTAACCAGCTGTGGGGTACTCGCATCTTGGATACTTCTTATCTCTTTGGCCTCTTTTTTCTCTTCCCAAGTTTCTTCTTTTTTTTCCCCCGCAGTGGCTGGCCTGTCGTACAAAGCTGCTTTTGACAGCTGGCTGCAAAAATGAAGAAGTTTTACAATGTCTACTTTCTCTGTAGCTTCATCACCCTGGGTGAGTTTGTCTCCGAGAACCGCTTGTTGACGCCTTACTGACTTTTCCGACCAAAAAGGGGGTGGTCTCTTTGGGTTCGATATCAGTAGTATGAGCGGTGCGTATAGTTCTTTATTCTTTAATCGATGAGTTTCTGACGATTGCAAGGTGTCCTGGGAACTCAGGCGTATGTGAACTACTTCCGGGTGGGCAGCGGCCAGTATAAGCAGGCAAGTTCCAATTAGCCGTCTATCTGAGTCCCCTCTTCTAAACTAGTACTAGGGTGGCATCACCTGTGCCATGCCCTTTGGCTCGCTCATTGGTGCTCTGTGCTCGAGTTTCATTGCGGATCGCTACTCTCGTGTCACCGCGATCCAGTTCTCGACTATCTTGTGGACTATCGGCTCCATGTAAGTCTGTTGCGTATCTGCATCTGTTATGCCAACTAATTGTCTAGCTTCATGACTGCCTCCAATGGTATTGCTCTCCTCGTCGTCGGTCGTGTCATCGCTGGTCTTTGTGTCGGTATCGCCTCGGCTATGGTCCCTGTCTACCAGGCAGAGGTTGCTCCAAAGGAAATTCGTGGTCGAGTTATCTCCCTCCAGCAATGGGCCATCACCTGGGGTATCTTGATTCAGTACTTTATTGTGGGTGACCAGCTATTTTTGACCAGGTGGAGACAGTTTCTGACAATTGACAGCAATATGGTGCTAGCAACATCGACGGAGGTGCCGATAACCCGACTCAAAGTACTGCTGCCTTCCGCATTCCCTGGGGTATCCAGATGGTGCCTGGCTTTATCCTCTTCGTCGGCCTGTTCTTCTACCCCAAGTCGCCCCGTTGGCTTGCAAGCAAAGACCGCTGGGACGAAGCTATGGAGGTACTTGCCAACCTTCACGGAAACGGAGACCGCAACCATCCCAAGGTTTTGGCTCAATATCAGGAAATCGAGGAGGCTTTGGCTCTGGAGCGTGAGCAGGCGTCTACTAGCTACCAGGAACTGGTCAAGCCTCGCATTCTCAAGCGTGTGTTCCTTGGTATGAGTTTGCAGATGTGGTCTCAGTTGTGCGGTGAGTCGATCGTACCCTTTACATGAGGCAAAGACTAATGGCTGCTGCGATAGGTATGAACGTCATGATGTACTACATTGTGTATATCATGCAGAGTACGGGAACTGGAAGCCCTCTCCTCACCGCTTCCATCCAGTACATCCTGAACACTGCTTTGACCCTGCCCGCCATCGTGTACCTGGACAGATTCGGTCGTCGTCCTGCCATCCTGATCGGTTTTGCGATGCAGGCTGTCTTCTTGTACATTGAAGGAGGTCTACAGGCTGGATTTGGCAAGCCCAACCCTCATGACGACCCCAAGCTGGATGCCATTTCTTGGGTTGTGTCCGACCATCCCAACGTCGGCAAAGCAATCATTGCGCTCTCCTACCTCTTCGTCTGCTCCTTCGCGACAACCATCGGTCCTACCTCGTGGACCTACCCTGCGGAAATCTACCCGGCCAAGGTTCGCGCCAAGGCTGTCTCCCTCGCTACCGCGTCGAACTGGATCTGGAACTGTCTTCTTGCTCTGTTCGTTCCGCCTCTGCTGTGGGCGATCAACTGGAAGATGTACATGATCGTACGTACTTGCATGGAAAACTTATAACCGTAGGAAAGCTAACTAACAAATCTTACAGTTTGCCGCCTTCAACACCGCAGCCTTCATCCACATGTTCCTCATGGCCCCCGAGACAAAGGGTTACACTCTCGAGGAAATGGACGAAGTGTTCGACAGCGGCCTTCCCGCCTGGCGCAAGCTCAACAAGCGCAGCAGACTGGAGGAGCTCGAACAGGAGATTGCCGAGGGCAAGCTCAAGGTCGCTGCTCACGGCGAGAAAGATGGACCTGTTGCTGCTACTACCGAGACCGTCTAGACGGCACCTTGATTTCTGGACCTTGGTGGAAAGCTTTCCTTTTTAATAGGCACAACGGTGCATGGGTAATAACTTGGAATAAGAGCTGACTGCCTTCGGGCTTGGGTATCCAGTTCCGTGTTTGGTTAACTTGGTTAATCTTAGGTAGTCCTCATGGGCGTTTTATGTTAGTTCTATCTGACAGTAATATCAATCTAATTTTGTCGTCAGCTGTTCCACGTTCTTTAGTCAGTGATGAGCCTACGCTAGGTAGTAAAGTTGAATATGCCCATGATATACAAGCGCTGATTAGTTCTCAACTCTAGGCAAGCCAAAGCCTGGCTTAATAAATCTACTTGATCGTCCTGCCTTGAGGTTCAAACTAACAAGAGTTCTCTTCTCAGATAAACATAAAACCTGGTTATGGACATAAGTCACAGAACATTGCTCATCTCTTCATGAGCACTGATAGCAAAGTCCAACAGTTACAGCAGGTTCCGCAACAAAACAGTCCTGTAAATCCAGGTGCCAGTAGAACTCCATTCACTACCCCATGTCACATTCACCCCCAGTAAACAATGCAAGATTCACTCTACCTTTCCTCATATCCCACCCCTCTCACCCCTAACTACGTCATCCATCTCCATCCAACACCACAATCACACATCACGTGCCTCCAGCAACCCTTACAAATGACAGATGGCTACTACTACCTCCTCCGTCACCATCAACGTAAGCTCTCGTCTCATCCCAAGTATTGCAATACCAATAACTAACAGCAAGCGCAAAAAAACAAAGTTCTATGGCGAACTCCGCCAGCTCTGGGTCGAGATAAACTCCCACTGCGAGAGACTCCATCTCCTCGATTCAACCACCCGCGTTCTATCCGCCTGTATCGAATGCAAGATTACGCCGTACGGAATGGTCCCGCTTGATATTGATGGATTGGAGAATGCGGATGAGTATGTTATGCAGTTAGTTGTAAGTATCATATCTCTCTCCTCAATGGTTTGCTTGTAAGTTGAAGGTCAGCGTGATAGATCTGCGGTCCAGAGTTCCCCGTCGGCCCGATCATCTCGTTCGTTGACTCCGTCCGCATGATGTGTGAGCCTGTGAGTGGATCCGCGCAGGTGCATATTACTGCTATTGCGGTTCCGTATGCGGTTTGTTGCCTTGCGTTTGATAAATAGTGTGCTTTGCTTGCTGATGAGGAGGGTAGACGCAGCAGCCTGAGGTTGCGACTGCAAGCGGATACTAGGTTCTGGGCTGCGGTGTCCCTTTGCTATGAAGATGCCATGCCATGTGCAGGATGATTTGAACTCGGAAGAGCTTAGTGGTGAGTACGATTTGAGGTTATTGCGAGGTATGGTAGGCTGATTGGGTTCTACTTCTGCCGCAGGAAGACGCACGGTTGCAAGCTCCAGATTGAGCATTGGTCCATATCGTTAGGGGAGGGCTCCCAGTGTTTATGACAGACAGTCTTCAACTAGAACCAGACATCATCTTGACCTAGTCGGATGTGGTTGCTCTGGTTGGTTATTCTATCGTCTAGTCAAATGAGCGCCAACAATTCTTGAACTCTGATTCCGTCGGATAAATCAGCGTAACTGTAGATCTATCGGAAAGGAACTTCCTAATTTTGCGAAATAGCTTGCTGGCATGATTTTCTCTAGGCCATGATAGGTTTGATAAAATTTGTGTTGCCTGAGACACTTGGTCCATCTACCATCCTGACTGCCGGCTTCTAGTCAGAGGCGACTTCTGGCTGCGATGATCTGACATGTCAATATCTGCAGTCCTCTGTGGCTTGCTATTCTCAGTGGCTTGACCTCTTGTGTTTACTTTAGTGAGAGCTTCAAAATTTGTCATCTCAAGTACCAGCACTTCCTCAGCTCCATTTTGATTCCTGAACTCGGATGATTCCGCCTCTTACCACGTCTTAAAAATGTGACTCTTTCACCAGCCTTTGCAGTCTGTCAGCTCTGCAGAGTGCACAGAGTGTGGACCGGTTTGAGCAATTTGGGGGCCATTCCATTGCCCCAATGAAGTTCACCGACAAAGAGATTTTAAAGCGGCTCAGTAAATGCCGAACTGATATTCAAGCACAATCACCGAATCTGAAGTCGCGGGATCTGCACGGGCTTCAAGGGACCAGGAGCCAACAGTGGTGCTGATTGTTGGCTCCTTTTATTCCGTACGGTGAAGCCTCAGCATCCTTTGCCCACTTCACCCGTCAGCCCAGACGGCGCACTGGTTAGCCTTTGTTCGCCTTCTTTTGTCGATAATCTTCTGCTGCAACAAGCAAGATGTCTGCTTGTCAAACGGCTTGTGCTATTTGCAGGGTTCTCATCCAAATGCCCTCTCGCGTGGAAGCTATACGGACATAAACTGGGGACCGGCGTGTTATGCTCCATGCTGTACGTTAATTACCTACTGCTCGACATTTCGAAGCCACTTGTGGGTACCTCAAGCTGATCATGCCATCTCGCGAACATCAATCGAAAAAGCGGCTACCCGATCTTCAATATGGGCTACGACACAAAAAACCCCAAATACAGCTGCGGATCCGTGGTGGACAATAAATGCCAAGACGGCGATCCCTTTACAATCGAAAACGGGACAGTGATACCAGGGGTAGCAGCTCTAGCCGGTTATGTGAACGCTTCGTCAATTACCAATACCCAGGCCAACTCGTCGTTCTTCTCGAAAACGCCCCCTGTTCGAATTCTTCGTCAATCACGACATCGTCAAATTCTGTGTCAACTACCAATACCGCCTGTCCAACACCAACAGGGGATAGTTCATCACCCTCGTCCCACGACCTGGCTATCGGAGTAGGGGATGGTGTGCCTTTGGGCGCCATTGCTCTGGCATCAATCGCCTGGGCACTGTGGGAGCGTCGGCAATGTAAATATGCTCGTCTGGAGAGTATGCCGGCGACCGGAGCGCAGGCTACAGGTCAATATCAGCATCAATATCCCGCGCACGGCATATATCAAGCACATCCTGCGGAGATGCAAAATAGACTGGATATTGGGTCAGCAAGACGACAGGTTATGTAATAATGAATACTTCAGGGTACTTAGAAGATGTCTCGTTCATACTGGCAGAGAGTCCAGACAAAGGGAATAAAGTACGGAGTACTTGCCGATGCACCCAGACACATAATCAGTTGTGCGAGCCCGCTCCTAGCTGCCTGTCAGGCCACCTACTGTGGAGTGCAATGTCCAGATTGGCTTAGCTCTTGCTCAATATGTAGACCTATGACTCAGTACCACCTTCAAAGTTAATAACATTGCATCCGGTGCTTTTGCACATACGAGCGAAAAAGGTTAAGTGGGTACGCCTCGTATTCCTTCAATTACAGGTCTTAGTTGCAAAGTGACGAGTGCGACTACGACATGATCAACCAGTTGCGGGCTTACGACTGATCAGATAGCTTGCTTCTTTGATTGATTACAGACGACTGCAACTAGAGAGGACGGATCGGTCACCGAAGCCAATATCCATGATTAATGCTTAGATACATAGCGGGCTCCTCCCGGACAGATGGCACCGCCTGGTTCGTCCTTGCTGTGCTGACGGGAGGCTGTAACATTGTCCGCTCCTGCTGGCGTGGAGGCCTGATTGCGGTTGCGTGATCACTGTTGGGCCCCCAAGGCCGGACGCCCGAGTCCGGAGTAAGACGTTTCAAACCTGGATGTCTGATGACAGGATCAAAGTTGATGAGTATGATGGCTTGATTACCGCCGCACAGTCCTTCCTGGTCGATGGAGTAGATGATTGAGCGCTCGTCTGCGACCGCTTGGATTTTGCCGATGCGGTGGGACGGGCAGAGGAGCTGGGTCAGCTCCGCGGGGGCGTTGTCGGGCGGCCACATGTGGATTCCCCGGGAGGTGAACCGCTCCTCGCCGTGGTCCATGGGGTTGCCATCGTCGTCGGTGAATTCTGGTTTGTGGAGGGTGTTGCTTGCCTCGTCTATGGGGCTTTTTCGTTTCCGGGAGACTGTCCGAAGGCGGAGGCGATCGTGGGGGATGTGGCTGCCTCCTGGTGATGATGGGTGGGGGTCGTTGACGAGGTCGACGAATGTCGAGGCTGAGAGGTTGTAAGTGCGGAACTTAGTTTTGGCCAGGATGAAGTCGCGTCTTTGGTATGGGGTGTCGGGATGGAGGTTGTCTTGATCGTCCTGTGGATATTCTGAGTGATAGTGTCTGCGCAGCCGTTTCCGGGGTCTCTCGTAGATTGCCTTATTCGACGAATCTAGTGTCTTGGTTAAGGGCTCGTCTGGCAATTCAGCAGCTATCGAGCTGCATGGTGGGTGGTTGGCCGGTCGCTTACTCCGGGAGATTTCTGCAGGCGACGGGAGAGGCTGCATGTAGTAAGTCCGGCAATTATCACTGCCTCCGTTGCGCCATTCGCGACGACATTCCAGGATCAGGAGCTGGTTGGTCGCTTCGTCCACTCGAAGCGAAAGGTCCGACCATGTGTCATTGATTGGGCCTTCGCGATGCTGTCGACGCCACTCAGTCCTAGGCGTCACCGAGCCCGTATTCCCGTGAGGGGGCAGACAGATCCACATGTACAAGGAGGTCCAGTCAACCTCTTCTTCTTCAAAGTCTACCAGGGTCGACACGGCATACAGATGGTCCTGATGCACCTCAAAGCAGACGGTCTGACCGATCTCGTTGCCAACGAAGTTGTGCAGCTCGACAGGTTTCTCAGTTAGGTGCTGTCCAGTAGCTAAATCCACGCAGTGGACGGCCCACTGCGGATAGCCATAATGACTCAGTGCAGACTGAGTTCCGTAGTAAAGGTAGGACCTGTTATGTCGGACAAAAAGTCGTCGTGTGGACTGAAGCGGTGTGCGGAGACGTAATCGACCAGTTCTGCAGTCTGTTTTCCTGCGCATATCTACTGCAAGAAGCCAAGCATCTCGCACCTCTCCAATCTCGACCAGAAATGCCAGAATCCCGTCACGGTAGTGCAGTAGCGATATCTGGATGGTATGTTGCGCCGGATTGCAGCCTGGGATCGCGCGAGAGAGGACATTATGCACGTTCAAAACCTGCTCTACTTGGCCGACCCCATGCACATCCAAGGCACGAATCTTGTTGTCGTAGATGTAGCAGAGGGAGCCTTGGTCGTACAAAAAGGCCGACCCGTATGCAAGAACCGAGGCTGAATACGGCTGAGCTGTGGCGAAAGCTTCCTTGACGTCAAACAGACGGCCAACTGCTCTACGATACCCAGTTCTAGTTCTATCCGCTTCCCGTCCCTCCTTGGAATGAAGCAGGTGGTTCTAAACCATGTTAAGATGCTGCCCTTGTTTCTGCACTTGCGAGGAAAGTACACACCTCAATTGTCTTTCTCGCAATGGATTCATTTCGCATCAACGTGTTGAGAGCCTGGTTGACTCGACTGAGATGGATAAAGTCGTGGCAATCCAACCCCGAAGCGATCTGGTAGAATACATCATATGGGATGGAGTCCAGGTTCTTGCTCATGTCGGTCATGTCCAAAGCGAGAGGAAGAGATGATAGCTCCAACAGAGCATGGATAATATATCGAATAACAAAGCGAAGGAAGGTAATGATGTTGTAGTTAAAGTGCGCTGTGATGAAGTGATGACAGTGATGGGGGTGCGAACAGTAAAGGATAATGACTATCTCCAACGGTGGAGACACAGTCATCCATCTTGGATGTCACACGGTGAGAGATTTGTAGATTATATGAAGGCAGTGACTTGAGCCTCCTGGTTGAGGCTCCGTATAAGCTTTGGAGAGCTTTGTTCATTTGGGTAGGATTGGCCCACTAGATGACGCGTGGATTATTGAATATATGGATTCCATCCTGATTCCCACGGATCGAGCTAGCTTCTAAGGAGCTCAGAAATGAGAGCAGTCTAACTGTTTTGGAAAGAAAAAGAAAGGTTGTCTTTGCCTCTCAAAGCAAAATAAAAAAGGATCACACCTTACCAGTCAGCCACAACACCACAAGAGGGTCTGGGCGGCACGAATGCTGATCAACGCCACGCTCAGTTATCTTCAGATGGGTCATCATGGGTGAACATAAAAGCATCCAATGGTCCAGTAGTGGCCACTGCAGAGCCGCAAATCCCACGGAGGATCCGGTCCAAGACTCCCAATTTCCATTCCAATGTGGCATATTCTAACTAGTGTTGTTATTGACGAGGCTCTCCAATCGCTTTCTGTCCTTGCATTTAACCCCCAAATGGGGCTATCCATTGAAACAAGTCCCAAGCCATGATAATGTTTCCACCGAGTTCACACTACAATCTGTGTCACCTCAGCAGCACATTTACGGGAGCTAAAAATATTTTACAAATGACAACTCTTTAATGGTCGATTCCTGATCTCCAATAAATGATGCGGAAGGCCAAGTGAGACTTATCCAAGACCACCTCGGTCCCTCACCGATTCCGGAGTGCCGCCGCCAAAAATTACTCCTTTGTGGATTGTGATGAGGCTCAAAGTGGCAATTTCCAGACCTGCTAGTGTCAATGCAAGGGGAACACTCGAGAAAGAACTGGCCTACGGACTTCCGAAGTTGCTAGCCTCGTGGAAATTCCAAGATTCCATCATCATCGTATCCATGATCAATATTTACCCAATTCGGAAAAGAAACGAGCAAATTCGCTCATGTTCCTGTTGTCAAGTGACCGACTAAAGAGCCACGACTTGCCGAGCCTCAATACTCCGTTTGTTTTGTAGACCCCGGAGTAATTGGCTGCCTAAAGAGGGGAAGTTTCGGTCTCAAACTTTCTAGCCACCTTCGAGTGTCTGGACGACTAGCCCACTCTGGATCAGGTTTCTCTTTGATTATCGACCCGTGATGATTATCGTTACCAGAATATGGTTCACCACAAAGGATGCAACTCTTGGTCGTACCTTTTGGTGGCTGGCCAGCATTGAAAGCTCGCCGCCTGCGCCCAAAACCCAACCATGGCCTTGTTTTTAAGGCAGCCGACCCGCTAACTGGACAGTATGCAGCATCTACCAAATTCTGTGCTATCAAACACGTCTGATATCTCAAATCCCCCATCATGTGTCAACCATCAAAGCGAGCACTTTGCGTGCGACTTTCGAGGCCTCGAATCCCCAGCCTTGTTCGTCCCGTCCGTGAGTTCCTGAGGGTCTGGCCCCCGCTTTGCACTGCCTCGCGCCTCCAAAGCTCCGAAATGATGATCAAACAGGCACGCCAGACAAGGCGGGCACGAGGCTGGAGAATCAAAATCTTGAGGTTGGAAAGGCTGAGGTACAGGCGAATTGTATCCAATCGGAATGTTCTCCCCATATGTCCCTTGTTGATATCATAGTACGGACGGGACCAAGCATGATGCATGATTGCTGATGGCCGGCCGGGCTTGTTACCCTTCCGAGTCCCACCAGTAGAAAACTCCCCGAAGGAATCATGCTCAGAGCCAAGAATATGTGATTGTGTGCTCTCGGTCGATCACGATGCGGGGTGTCTAGACTTGGGGATCAGGAACAGCTTTGACAGCTCCTCGAAGTCCGGCCGTGGCATTGGACGTGCCACGGAGTTTACTGGTCAGCAGTGCAGTAAGCAGTGCATCATGTGTCAGCGCTAACAGATAAGATGACGACTATGAGCAAATTAGTGTTGCCTGGGTTCGATACCAGATTATCGCCCCGGTGCAACGCATGGCCAGTCAACTATTGGCCACTTTGGCCCCTATCATCAGCGTCTATAATTAAACCAATGCACGCATCCCGGCGACAGCTCCGCCTGGACCTCAACCGCCTGTATCCGATAGCGGCCTCCATGACACTCACCCGCGGTCACGATGGGTCGAGTCAATGGTTTCCTCTTGCTTGCCAACTTGATGGAATCCGTCTTCACTATCTCCGGACAATAGACATTGTATAATGTAGCCCTTCAGAGTTTCACGAAACTTGAGCTCACACGCAAGCCTCGAGCCGAAATAGGTCATGAGAACGCTGCCCCCTTCGTTGACTCGGAATTACAAGCTAGAGAACAATCTACCTGACTGTTCTTTGATGAAATTCGAAAAGAAGTTAGT